TGTGAGGAAGGTGAATCTCAGTTCAGCAGAAAAGAAAGCTCTCTGATGATAGAAGCCTTTAAGTGGCATTTCAGCAATTTTTATAATGAGACATTAACACGTGATAAGTGACAAGCATGTCAGGCAGAGCTGTTAAATACACTCACGGGTAAATCCTGTTAAATTGTCTACAGTAGAAAAAGTGGTTTCCAAGCATTCATTAGAGTGCACCAGTGACTTGACAGCCAGCTGCTAAGAAGTATCCACCAGGGTTTTGTTTTTGTTTTTTTGGAGGGTTTTTTTAATGGATAATCAGAGGAGCAATATGATGAAAGAGGTTGTCAAATTTTAATGCTGACATCCATAAAAACATTAGAAATTTCTTTCTTCTTATTGGTTTCTCATGGACAAAACAAGAGCGATATTCCACGTTGTAACATTCTCTGCCTTTTGAAAGGGATCACATACCGTCTCCTTTTGATTTTTTTTTCTTTTAAGCTGCCGCTGAGGGTTGGCATTCCTGTAGTCTGTAAACTAATGCTGGAATTATAAAATGCTTCTGAACGTCTCTTGCAGGGAATGATGATATGTGTCACAGAAGCTTGCAAAGGAGCCAATGTGCACACCTCACAAATCTCAACAAAGCCTTGCATGGACGCTGAATTCCAGAACTGGACAACCTACACAACTCATATCAGACAAGGTGTATTCCTTTCAAGATCACTGAAATTGGATGGATCTGTTAGAATGGATGCAAATGATTGTGATATTCAACAAAAGCAAGCAAGAACACACTGTGTGTGTCCCCTGCTTCCTGTTAAGATCTAAATGGACACTTCACTCCCCTTTCAAGGTGCTCCATCCACAAGCACATCTTGTTTCTGCCTGTGATACAATCACACTTGAAATATAGGGGCCGACCACCTGATAAGGCTAAGCATGAGGGTCAGGTAGAATGTAAAGGTTTCCACTATGTTGTGCTGACCCCATGCTGCAGAACCTGGATCTAGGGATGTGGAATGTTGCATCTCTCGAGGGTAAGAACACGAGGTTAGACGGATTGGTGCTTCGTCAGTAACTCAAACCTTGTACTGGATTGTCATGGTGAAGAGGGAATTCAGCCTGAAGGGGAAGCTCGCAATTTACCTGTTGATTTATGCTCCAACCCTCACATAATTGCCTTGAGCTTTGGGTAATGGCCGAAAGAATGAGATTGTGGATACAGTGAGCCACAATGAATTTCCTTTGCAGGGTGGCTGGGCAGCACAGCGACTCAGTGGTTAGCACTGTCGCCTCACAGTGAGAAGGTCCTGGGTTTGACTCCCAGGTGGGATGGCTCCGGTTTCCCCCATCAAAACAAATCAAAACACCTATATTAGGTTAATTCCTCCAGTCAGTGCCCTTGACCAAGGCTTATATCTAGAGCTGGTCTGTACAGTGACGGCTCCTGGTACTTGCAGGGGGCAGATTTCACTATATATTGTACTGTGTATAACTGTATATGTGATAATAAAGTAAATTCTTCTCATTTTTAAGATATGATTACATCCAGGAGGAGGTTGAAGTGGAACTGCTACTTCGCATTGTAAGGAGCCAGCTGAGGTTGCCCACTCTTGACGCGGTCAACATGTGTCCTGGAGCCGCTCGACCCAAGCTCTGATTCCATGACAACGTTTGCCGCAGATCTCAAAAATGTGTCTCTGACCGTGGCTAGGTCATGTTGTCTCCATTAGGCTTATAAGTCCTCCTATACAGTATGTATGTCTTAAGTTAAACAGATAACTGACACCGACCATTTTTGCTGATAAGATTGATATCGCCAACTGAAGGTCTTGGCTTTTGTAGCTTTAACCTCCCTTATTCATACATTTTTCCGCCTCCTTCTCTTCTCTTTTCATGTGCTGCTGCTTTCCTCCGTTGCTGTACCCCACGGGGAAAATCCATAAATGGCCAAATAACAGATTTTACTAGCACAAATACTTGGTTTGTACTTGGATAGAAAGAAAATATGCTGTTTTTCATAGTCTGCTGAGCAACATGGTCGAAGCAAACTATCTTTTCTGTCAAAAATCCATAACTCTGCAGGATGTTCACTTCAACCAATCAGAAAGCAAAAATGTTGCCAACGCTCCCCTCCATCTCCCCATGTCCCTCAACGATTTTTTTTTTCTCCAGGAACACACACATACACACACACTCGCACACACACACACCCTGCCGAGCAAGAGACTCCGGGTTGGCAGACGAGTAGCGCTGTCATTTGTCAGCTACATCCCAGAGGTAACATCAGGGATAGGCCGCACAAGTGTGTGTCAGTGTGTGTAGGTGTGTGTTTGTGTATGTCAGCTAAATTGGGCGTAGCAGTGATGTTGTATGGAATGATCAAACAATTGATCCAAAATTTAGTTTGATGTTTCCTGGCTTGAACTTGAGGAGAAGAGGAGGGAGGGGGAAGGATGAGACGGGGAGGGGAAGAGGAGAGGGGGAGGCAAAGAAACAAAGAAGAAGTGAGTTTGGGAGATTTTGAAGGAGACACTGAGTGTGATACACTGCGAGCAGAGATCACAGTCTCAATCTGAATACATTTAAATACATTCTTTCTCTTCTTTTTAATCATACTCACTGTGGCCACTGAAACGAGCCCAGTCTGCCTCATGTGTGTGAATATATTATCTCACAGTCTGAAGTTCATTGTTTGGAGGGAGACTTTTGAATTACAGCACTTCAGGTAGCCCTGTGTAATACACTACTGCCATCCAGTGGTGAGATTATGGAATCACTCACCTCCAGTGGCCTTAAAAACAGCATCTTAGAACAAAAAACCTTCTTAAAGACATAGAAGATAATTAAAAGAATATAATATTTCTATGTGTTCAGTTGTATGCTTCATTTGCACCGCTATTCCCTTAAACACACACATAGCCACACAAAGACACTTAACTCATTAAAAAAACACTTAGATACACAAACTCATTCATATACACACGCTTACACTCACACACAAGCCATAGTGGGCAGTGCAGCCCTAATACCATCCATTACGCTGTGATCTCCACTAATAGGCCACTCCAGTGGCAGGCTAATTCAAGAGACTGATTAGCATAAGTGAGCTATGGCGTTCATTAGCCTTATCAAGGATTCATAACGCTGACCAAAATGAATGGGATCCTCTATGCGCTGTCCGAGACAAGCACTGAAGTCATTGGCTGTGTATTCCCTCCACTGACACTGATACACACAGAAACACTCAGATACAGTACAGCGGTTCATAGTCATTTTTGAGGAAATGAAGGGAAATGTTGCCTTCAGCAGGTGAATGGAGAGAAAAATTAACATAACATATGAATATTTTATGAACATAAAATAAGACATTACAGGCTAAAAGAGACACATTCACATACAGTAGTGGGGAATTAAATAAACATATACCCTCGGCCATAACCATAAATTCAGTCAGTAAAGGCCAGGCTAATGCTCTTAGTGTCCTAAAATATATATTTTTGTTGACTCATAATGTTCAGCTTGTGGGCCTAAGAACTAATTTCACTATGTTAAAGCTGCACAAATATTTTTGTATTAACAGTGGATCAAATGTGTGTAATGTGAAAGGCATCACTTGAGAATTGAAGAATTATCACCCGTCTGCAGTTTTACTCCAGCTCTAATTAGTATGTTAGTTAATTGTTATGGTTCTCATCAGTGTTGTTTCCAACCACAGCCGGCAGCTGTTTTAAGTGAAAGAGCTCTGATAAAAGCCACTGTACGCTGTCTGTCTACAGTTTAGTGCTGGACAGGTAAAGTCAGCAACAAGCCAGTAAACATATCGGAGCAGCTAAAGAGCCAGACGTTAGGAGTTGGTGGAGACCAAGGCAGAGCTGAAAAAGGGTGAATTGTGGACTTACATTTGTTTGATAGACAGAAACAAAACTCTAAATGAACAGCTAGCTGTAGAAGTTGATAACATGTCAGTGTTATGTCTAAAGGTTGTTCCATTGGCAGGAAAATAGGATTCCATTAGGAAACTTGTTGTGCAGGGACATGTACTATAGTGAATTAGGATTGTTCCTCCATAAAGTACAGGGACTAAGTAAAAAATGGTCAGAATCGCTGCAGCAGACATTATACATTGGTTTTTAAAGGCTGAGTAATTCTTCCCATCGCTGATTAACTAATCCTGAGGGTTTAAATTGAAATTCTGCTTTAATAATTCCTAAAATCTGACATTTTAAGATGTGTTTTCACATCTTAAAAGCTACAAGCATAAAAAGTGGGAACCTAACTTGGCTGGCTCCTGCTGAAAGGGAAGGCTCCCTGGTCCCTACTTCTGTTTTGGGTTTGGCTGCTTGAAAGTTAAAGACCATAAAATTAGTTTGGAGCAATAAATTCGACCAGCTGAGGGGTTTTTTGCCTGGACAATCAATTTTTGGATGAAGTTGCTAGCCATGCTATGCTGCTGTGGCCTTCCTGAGTCAGTGTAATGCTGAGTGGGATGCAGTGTGTGTGTAGGTATATTGACACTGGGGTGTCTGGTTGAGTAATGGGGGCGTAGCAGAGTTTAGATGGCTTCTATCCTCCTTCCTATCCAATGCTGGAGAAGGTCATCACTCATACAGAC